TGAGCTTTATTCTTTACTTTCAGGGCTAATTTATAGTTAACTGGCATTAACTCTGATAAGATAAAAATGAATGATATTCAGATTTGTAGTTCCCTCAATTTTTCTCTCATTCAGGAATTTAGCAAATTTTTCTACGGCTTTATAAAAATGAAATTGCATGTTTTCAGTGGTTTGGGCAAAACCGAAAACAGGGTTGTGTTCTATCCGATGAAGTTTGGTGAGATGAGGAACAATACATGACTTCACAGAAGGGGCGTTTCTAGAAAAATGGAGTTTTGGAGTCAACAAAAATGTTTTGTTCATGTATTCTCTTTAACTGAATCTTTTTCTTTTCCTCCGTCTCTTCCTTCTTTCTGCTCCTCCTCAGAATGGAACAAAGTTCAATGTGAAGGGCTTCCACAACCCCCCGCTGGTCAACAACCCTGTTCTGGCTAACCGCGGACACACTCATACGCATACGCAGTACCACCGCAACACTTGGCGACGCAGAAAGAGGGACAGCCTACCGGTTAGCCTCAGCAGATAGAAACCACTCTTCTTTCCTTTAACTTTTCCTCCCTCCTCCTCTCTGGATGCAAACCCTGGCTCTTAGTTCGCCTTGAAGGAGGATGGACCAGCAGACAGAAAGAGGACCAGAGACCAGCAGCTTTATTTGTGGGGCTGCCGCATCGTGGAGCAACAGCCCTCAGCTCTGCATCTTCCTCCCACTGTCGCTACCTTTCCATTTCTGCATGACCTTTGTCCACAGTTTCAGTATTATGTTACTGTCAGAATTTTGGTTCTTCTCATCTTCGTTTCAGGTCTTTCCCTGTTTTTTTGTTTTTTTTAAAATTCTATTGGACTCAGTGGTGATGCCATCGCCAAGTTCACTTGACCTCACCTCGACCCTCGCAGCCAAGCTGCCTGAGGTTAGGTTTACTTTTTGTTTTTTAACAGTTTATACACTTAAGAACAAACCGTTTTTCATTTTGTGCAATAATGTTCTTTTTCTTTTTGGAACTAAAGTAATTGCTTATTTAATTTTGTGTGTGTGAATGTTAAGGCATTTTTATACTGTTATTTTATTTTTGTAGAGTTTTAAATTTTGTTTACGAAACATTTCCCCGGGCAGCATCTCTGGAGCATGTGTGTTGGTCAGTTGGTATTTTCTTGTGTGTGAGTGTGTGCGTTCGTGTGTGTTTGATTGTCTGTCATCAGGCTGACATAGACCCCAGTTTGCTGGGCTCCTCCTCTTCCTCCTCTCTCCCCTCTGTACCTGTGTATGATGAGGAGTTCATATCTCAGTATTCCTTCCACTTTTCTTCTAGTGTCTTTAAAAATGGACGAGGTCAACATGAAATTCTCTATCTTCAGGAAGTTGTGTTCCTCAGTCCAGTTGGTCTAAGGCATGATGGAGGGCAGTGAAGGGATAACGTTGCACCCTGGGACCTCCTGACAAAGGATGGGAGAGAGGAAGTACTTTGTGGCCTGATGGAGGCAGTAGCTCCAGATGAAGCTTTAGCAGAACCACCTGGAGATTGTGTGCTTGTGTGTACTTCTGAATGTGGGTGTCTGAGCTGTTGCCATATTTTGTCAGTCAGGAGAAGGCTGGGAGCGGCCAGCTACGTTTGTCATGGCCATCTTTCTCTCCACTGGAGGTGATTTTTTTTCCATAATTTTTTTAAGGGAAAAGCCTCCAGATGGTGCAGGATTTTGGCCTGAGAAAGCCTGCTCAACATAAATGCTTGTGTGTTTTCATTTTTGTGCTATTTACATGTTGTAGGAGGGGTTGGTGCCAAGGCGGCAACAGCCTGCCGACTTGAATTTAAAGATTTAAGATTTGGGTAAGAGGGCAGAAAGCCACTGATTCCAGGTCAGAGAACCTTTCAGATGCTTACTCTCCCGAGTTCAGGGACGCGGTTTGTGGAAATCTGATCCCAGGGCTGATAGGGTCAATCCTTGCCCGCAGCTGTAAATCGGTGTAGACCAACACCAAGGTGCTCAGCGATAAGGTTTTCTCCTTTGTGGTTCTGAACAAAGGAGGAGGAGGAGGAAGGAATCGAAGGGGAGGGGGTCTTCCTGAACCAAGGACCCTAGTGAAAGGGAAATATATTTTGATTCCATTCAGGAATCTCGTGTATATTTGATTGCCAGGTACTTCCGCTAATTGTTTGCAATGCCTTTCTTTGTGTTTACTTGGAGTGTGTATACGTCGTATTCCGCGAGCACACCGTGTCACACAAACGCAGACACTCGCAGACAGGACTGTCCAAGGCTGTGACTCGCCCAGAACACTACACATGCTGGTGTTATTACTATGCAAGTGGATTCTTCTAATTATTGTGTCAACTCTCTTGTCTTTCTCCGTAGTGGGGTTATTTTCAAATGACAAACGATGCTTATCAGGCTGGAGTAATGTCGCTGACTCTTCAAGCCAACTCATTTGAACCACAACCCCCCCCTCCATCCCCTGACCCCCTGTATTTGTACGAAGGTCCTAATATGTTTCAAAGTCTAGTTTTCTACATCTATCAGTCAAATGTAAGGAATGGCGGATGTTAATATCGATGGTTGGGTTTGTGTAGTGTGACATAATGAAACGTGTGTAAGAAAAGTGTTGAAACTTGCCACCGCGAGTTTGTTTGTTTATTTTCAATAAGGCGCCCAACCGTCACGAGCAAGTGCACCGAGAGAGCGACTTGCACTCTGCGCGTGCACTTCAGGAGAGACCAGAGTGTCCAACGACAATTCTTTACCTTTTACTGAGAGTCTGTTCAGTAATTTTTCTTTTTCTTGGCAACTCGGATCCGTCAGTCAGAACGTCACCTGGCATCAGTTCAGTCTCACATGAATGGTTTCTGTTTTGTTTCTCACAGGCAACACAGATTATGAGCTGATCAAAAAAGCTCTGATTAGAGAGATGATCTTCACTTTTTAAATGATTTAAGCTAAGAAATTATGATCATGGACGCATCCAGTCATACGATCATACTCTTGTCACCCTGTTACTGGATAATTCTTCCATGTAAAGATGCTCAGTTCAATGTATTTCCATCAATTGGATACCCAGGTGGATGTACTCGGCAAACCTCTAACCCTTTCAAACTGTCGCTCATAGCCATGTCTGCTTTTAGAGATAAGAACCAGCATTTATGAGGAGCTGATAATGATAATTGGTGATAAAGGCTTGTTGACCGGGTTACACTTGCCCGCAGCTTCACAGCAAAGACTTACATGCAGTATCTCAAAAAGTCTGTATGGATTCAAATCTGTGTTCATCTCAGCGGCCCAACGAAACTCGCTCTCTGTCCTCTGTACTGTTCGACGGTGATGGAAACGGTTAATTAAAGGTGTCTGTCTCGCCACGTTGCCTTCACTTCAGATTGGTGTGGAAGTGAGGGGAAAGGGAAGCGAGCGTGGCTTGGCCTGCTGAGATTTTGACGTACACATGTACATGTAGATGCAATGTAATATCACCCCCATTGCAATAAAATGAGGGATTTTAAACTGGTGGCTGCTGTTTTAGAGAAAGGTGGCAGCCCCTCTTTGTCCTGGCTGATTCATGTGAGCAGTAGCCCTCGTAATGGACACCAAGCTATCGGTGTCCAGAGGGAACCACTGCCCAGCTTTTGTTTTTTTGTTTTTTTTTTGACATTTTTATGTAAATATATTTTTTTCTATTTTATTTTTTAATAAACATTTTAAAACTGCCAGTCAACTTGTGTTTTGTACTTTGCTGTCGGTACGTACAGGACAGCATAACATGGACATATTATTTTATGAGGTGCCTATAAAGAAAAATAACTAAATAAAAAAAAAATCCTTAGAGAGAATATAGATGTATTAAAGTGAGTAAAATTAAATATAGTGCTTAATCTTAAAATAAAGTCTGTGAATTTAAAATCATAGTAGAACGGGTTTAGATAAAGATACATTTACAAATTAATTAATGAATACAATGTAATTAAAAGCCAGACTTAAAAGGTGGGTCTTAAGTTTGCATTTAAAAATATCAACACTCTGCTGTCCTCAGGTTTTAATGAAGGCTGTTCTCCTTTGGTTAACCCCCCGTGGGTCATACCTTTGACAAGAACGTATCCTGATGAATCATTTTGTTTAAATAACATATTCATTGGTGGTCACTGTTTCTAATCCCTCTGAACTCCAGAGGTTAATGACGTAGTTCTCACCGCCTGTCTCTGTGGCTCTGCGAGCTTTCTCAGTCCACATGTGATTCCTCTCGTCAACACTAGGTGTTGCACATGCACTGCCGTGAGTTGGTGTGTGATTGGGAGAATAACTCAAAGCTGCTTTACTGCACTCATCAAGCTCCGTCTGCATAAACCCTTCAACCAAATAGAGGCGTTAAGTCCATATTGTGTTCACGTTCAGTCACATCAGGCCTTCAGCGGCTGGATCCACTCCTCTTCACCTCAGTGACACAACCTAAAGCAGAGGTACAGACACAGCCTGTAACAGATGAGACTGAGGTGAACGGGGGACAAACATAGTAAGAGCATTTGAATTGTAAAACAGCAAGCAGTTCAAAGATGAGACATATGGATGAGTTTCCCAAGCAGCAGACATGAGGCCGACAGCAGAAAGATGAAGAGATCAAGTGTTTCTCAGAGGAGTGTGGCCTCTCTCAAGGTGACAGAAGAAAGTTGTCAACACAGGAAAGTAAGGATCTTATCTTTATAACACTGTCGACTTGTTGAACCAGGCCAGCCTCCTGGATGGCTTGTATTTCACAAACAGAAATCTGTCCATAATAACTCAGCTGGAGAGGAACTTGACCAATACACACACAGCTTGCCTCAGTATGTCTGAACAGTGCCAGCTGAACAACCTGATGGACTGGGCCAGCGGTCACTCCTCGGCCAGCGTGGACGGCTTCCAGAGGAAACACTTCATCCATGACTGAGCGGAGGAGTCTTTCCCAAGTAAGTGATTTTCTTCATCCATAGGAAAAGGAGAGAGGAGGAGAAGTACTTGAAATTAAAATTCCTGGTTGTTTAAAGATATATAGCACAAATATATACAAATACATGTTAAATTGATGACTCTATATTACAGTTGTCCACAACCTTTTTGGCTTGTGATCCTCGTCCTCGCGGTTTGTCTGTGTTTAGGAGCTGTGAGATGTTCAATGCTGCTATAATCATTTCACTTTCATTCTAGATCAATGGAAGTCATGTCATGTGAAGGGTGTTGCTCGTAGTGACCAAGCCACAGATGATTATCACCTGGATGACCAGTTTCCCTCAGGGGCTACTGATCATTTTAACTCGTTTTGGAGAGAAGGAAGTTTGAATGGAAGGAGGGACGTTTGGAAGAAAAGACGGACATTAGGAAGGTAGCGAGTTTGGATTGTTGGACAGAAGGAAGTTATAATGGAAGTTTAGGATTGTGGATTTTTCACCTTCACTAACTATTTTTTTATGACAATTAAATAATTGGAGTTATCTGACCACTTATTTTTTTTATGTTCCTATTATAAGAATTAGACAATCTTGTGTGGGATCGTTGGACCTTGGTGCAGGTCTGTGCTCTTCTGAGAGACATTCTACTTGTTTCGTCTGCTCCCCCAGCAGACCACAGCACATCAGATGACTCTCACTAACGCCAGCTGATAAGATCTCTAGCATCTGGTAGCATTACACTGAAAGATCTCAGCGTCCTCAGGAAGTGAAATGTGCTCGTCCCTTTCCTGTACACAGCATCAGTGCTGGTCCCCAAGTCCGTGCTGCTTAAGGCTGTTTGTGTTATAGTGTCGTGGTGTTGGCTCAATCTGTTGTTTCTAGGTTTTGAATGTCCAACAACTAAATACTCCTTCTAAAGGTGAAAAGGCCACGTAAACTCATCAGTTGTCCTGTTCTGCCTTCATGATTCAGAGGGAAAAGATGGGTCAAAGGTCTAAGGGGCTGGTGTGTCATCTCAGGGGTGTACTGGCTGTTTGTGATGATGCAGACTGGATGGACTATTGTAATTTTAACACTGCCTCTCTAGTGAACACCTAATATTAACTCCCCAACTCCAACTCCTGCACCCGCCATGACACAGACTTCAAATGTGGTTCTCATCCTCGTGAAGTCGACCACCATGTCTTTGGGCCACATTGAGGGGCAGATGCTGCACCCCCTCTGACTCCTGCCCATCTGGAACACACCTCTGCCGGTGGTTCAGAGCAGTTGTGTTCTGGAAATGTGAGGCGAACAGAGCGAGGAGACAAATGTAAACAGGACAGTCCCCTGTGGCGCTCCTGTGTTAGCAGCCACTGCACCATACCAGGAGCTCCCTGGAAGGATACAAATTGGGCAAATCTGACAAATAGGCTCTAGTCAGCCCTGTTTCCAGCAGAAGCAGCTGCTTTCAGGGAAAAAGCCCTGAGAGCCTGGCCGTACACTGGCTGACCGGCAAAAACTGCACACAGACAAAGTTACTGAACAGAGTGGAGCAATTAGCAGGTGGAAAAAAGAGTCAATGAGAGCTGCCATTGCTCTGTGTCCACTGGATGTGCAACACACATCACCGTAATCAACAAATAATGGGTTTTTAAAATTAATTTATTACATTAATAATAATACAGATTCACACAGAGCAAGGAAAACCTTGGAATAGACCTGTAGAGAACTTCAAGTTGACTTCATTCTACCATAGAGGTAATTCTGAGTGCTGATTGACGATACTATTGATGGTAACTGTCACTGCTTTCAATGTAACTGCTGGTTATATCGTTTTTATATTATTTTTGATTTATTTTAACTGATATAAATGTATTATTTTATTGCTGTTTGAATTGAAATTTGTTGCATTGCTGTACCTGGGCATTATTCAAAAACAGGGCTCTATCTCAATGTGTCTCCCAAGGTTTTGAATAAATGCTGATGATCAGGTGGTTAGGGTCAATAGGAATTAATAACAGTCTACATTGCTTCATATGTTTGTCATTTTCTCTTTACCTGAGTTATACAGGCAGGTGCAGTTGTATCATCAGCTGTAATGCGGAGACATCGCCAACTACAGTATTGACAGATGCTGTGAGACTCTGGTATTTATCCAGGGAGTCTTCAAACACAATGATCATTCGCTCCACAAGATTTTGTCCTGCAGCAAATGGCGTTTTAGTAACAAGCCTTGTAAGAATCCCCCCAACAACAGCTATCAAACACCTGCAAAAGCCTGACTGGTTTTTGGCAGTTTGTCAATTCCCAGATACTCTCACAAATGAGGCTTTTTTTTTGTCAATGGATTCAACAACAAGGGGAGTGTACAGCACGCTTTAAACAACTAATTGATTTAGAAAAACGTACATCATACTTAACGAATCCCACAGTACTCATTTTAAATGAGGAGACTGCCGTTCTCGTTGTACCTTCCCACCTTGATTGCTGCTTATCTGGGTCATCTGTGTGTTTCAATCACTGTTGGACCCAGTAAGATGCTGATGAAGCCCACTTTTCTCTCATCAGTGTGGGGAATCTGCCTCATCTCTAGCACATCTCCAGCTCTGCTGTAATCATCATTGTGCATACGCGGCTGCATCTGGGATCTTGTGCAATTTCATCATTTTTTAACCCAGGTGATTTGAACCCCTCACACACACACACACACACACACACACACACACACACACACACAATTAATTGGATATTGAAGATCAGATTCTGTTTGACCTTTTTGTGCTTCAGTGAATCCATGAGACAGGATTGATCTCCATCATTGTTGATTTCCCATATGAGTGAGGTACTTATAGGATCGTCTATATGCTGGTTTCTCTGAATAGTGGTGGGTGCATGGTTGTGTTACTGGTGTACACACAAAGGAAACCGTGCTGGAATCTAATTACAATTATCTGTTCGTCCTGATTTCACGCTGCTTGATTTTTTATATAAGTGCGAGCTGCAGATTTGACGGGCGTCAGAATCATACACTGTAATTATTCATGTGATTATTCATACTAAGAAAATAGGCCTTTAGAGGAAATCTAAAGTCTTTGAATCTGCATCATAACAGGCGTTTTCGCAAAGTTGCTATTAACACGTGGCCGTCATTTGTTTCAGCAACAGATCTGGTTAGCTGTCACTTCTTCCAGTTCATCATCTGTAAATAAGACTTGTCTCTGTAGTCCAGTGTTTTATTTGTCCTGCATGTGGATAAACCATATCCGCAAAAAGAGGATTTCAGCTTCTTTTAGCCAATTTATTTATTTTCTTTTTTCTGTCTTCAGATTCAATCAAGATGCAAAAGGCAAAAAAAGATAAAAAGAGTCAATTATATAGGCTGCATCCTTCAATAAAACAGATTACGTCACAAATGTGCGACTAGACGGTTGCATTGGATTTCTACTTCAACTGTGGATGTCAAATCTGTCCTTCTATCCACAGTAGATTCTTATCTGGCCATATATCCCAGGATTCATTGCATTCCGGTGATTAACTGTTTTTCAAATAGGTGATTCCACTGGCAAGGGATGAGATGTCCAATGCTTAAGTATATTTAAAAAATCAATGGGCATCAAAACGTTCTCATAGTGTCCAACAGCAATAAGGAAGGAAGAAAGCCTCCGTAAACCAGACCGTCTCATTTCAGTTCAGCCTTCGAAGTCTAGACCCCTGGAGGATGCAGCCCCTTCATTGAGACACAGCTGCTGTCTATTGAGTTTGTTCATCTACCCCCTAGTGGCAAGACAATGCATTAATTGCCTACAGCTTAATTGTTTCCGTAAAATATTCTTGTCAGTGTAAATAATCCTGGATCAGCATTCAGTGCTAATTCAAGACAACATTTCCACTACTCGTCATAAGGGGCAGCAGTTTGAAGCTTTACATCTCTTTTTATCACTGCGTCAAGGGATGAGTCCTGCATTAATGCATGCTCATCTCATAGTTTCTCATAGTTTATTTCCCACAGTGCACGAATGCAGCCGCTGTCCTCTCTCCATCTGCTCGTGTTGCCTCGTCTTCTGTCCTGACACTGTGCCCCTCATCTGTATGTGGGAGGGTGTTTGTGCACCGCCTTTAGCACTGTGTGTGTGTGTGTGTGTGTGTGTGTTTGTGTGTGTGTGTGCGTGTGCGTGTGTGTGTTTGGGTAGCAGGTGGTCAGCACAACCCAACTTGTTGTTAATGTGATGGAGTATAAGAGCTCATATAGAGTATTCTTTTTATAGCAGAATGAACACACACAGAAATGATGAATGAGATGTGGTTTGACAATATGATAAAAAAACAGGTGTCATAGTATGTTGTCTGTCACTGCGTCCTGCACACACTTGCTCATGTCTATTGATATCTCTCTGTGTGTGTGTGTGTGTGCGTGTGTGTTTTTGGGGTTATTTCCACAACTCCCCCCCCTCCTCCTTTTTTATAGTCTAAATTATGCTTTGATTATGTCCACTGGGAAAGTGGGTGTCTCTCTCTCTCTATTCTGGAGATAAAAAAGTATGATTCTTTGTAACTTTGCTCAAGGGTTCATAAAAACATTTATCATTTATCATAATGATTGAAGGACAAGCTGAATAGAGGATAACAGCTCATGCACGGTTCAAGCTGTTCAAGCTCCTTAACTGTCATGGGCTGTATGTGTGTGTGTGTGTGTG